AAAAAAAAAAAAAAGAGGTAGGATTTGCAAATATTTCCTCCCAGTCCATGGCTTGTTTTTGAAGTGGGAAGTTTTTATATGTTTGTACAGCGAAATTTATCTTTTTAAGGGATCATGCTTTTGGTGGGACTATATTGTATTGCTTTAACAGGCAGTTTTGTTAAGCTTAGTATTTAATTTTGGCCACTTCTGGAGGCAGCTCCTGTGGTGTGGGGGAGCCCCAGGAGGGGTAAAGATACCACCCATTTCTTAAATGATTCTCAGAGAAAACTTGTCACTGTGGTAACTTTGCCATTTTGGGAAGATTAATCATGACAGGACATGTGAGTTGTAATTTGCCCCCTGAATTAAAGTAAAATGCCCTGTGAATTATAATAAACTGTGTATCACATTTAACTAGTTTTCTCTGCGCTGTTAGGCATTTGAATGCTGAACTTCTAAATTAGAAATTTCCAAGTGTTGGGCGCCTGGGTGGCTCAGTTGGTTAAGCCTCCGGCTCAGGTCATGATCCCAGAGTACTGGGATTGAGCCCCCTATTGAGCTCCTTGCTCCGCGGGGAGGCTGCTTCTCCCTCTGACCCTCTCCCCTCTCATGCTGTTTCTCTCTCAAATAAATAAAATCTTTAAAAAGAAAAAATAGAAATTTACAAGTGTTATTGCCCACTAATCTGAAAAGGCAGCACGTTAACAGGTGATTGTGAAGAGCTTGGTACCTGCTCAATGCTCCATTTACCCTTCCAAATCTAAGAAGTCTCAGGGGCGCCTGGGTGGCTCAGGGAGGTAAGATTCAGACTCAATTTCGGCTCAGGGTCTCAAGATGGAGCTCTGCCTCGGGCCATGCTGGGCGTGAAGCCTGCCCATGATTCTCCCTCCACCCTCTCCCCGTCTCTGAAGTCTAGGGGCGCCTGGGTGGCTCAGTTGTTAAGTGTTCCTGTGTTCCCTGTCTGGCTGCGTACGTCAAATAAATAAAATGGGGTGCCTGGGTGACTCACTCATTAAGCGTCTGCCTTCGACTCAGGTCATGATCCCAGGGTCCTGGGATCGAGCCCCGCATTGGGCTCCCTTGCTCAGCCGCAAGCCTGCTTCTCCATCTCCCACTCCCCCTGCTTGTGTTCCTGCTGTCGCTATCTGTCAAATAAAGTCTTTAAAAAATAAAATAAATAAAATCTTAAAAAAGTCTAGCTTTCCTCTTCTGAAGCATTAGATTTCGTATTTCCACCCTCAGTGCCTAATGCTACCTGCAAAATATCTCCGGTCTCAGTTTCTTTACACAAAGCACAGAACTCCTGGTGTGGCAAAGACCAAAATAGCCCACCTACCCCACAATGATGAGACTGGTTTTAAGATGGTGACAATTCCATACTTTGCAGCTGAATTAGACAGTGTAGGTCCACTGAGCAACCTTGGGCCATGATGGTTTTGAGAAATACACCTATACAGGACTCTCAAGGAAATTCCTGGAGAGCGGTAGGTAAAAACTCATCCACGAAGGACAGGTTATAATCCAACCATTGTGGAAAGCAACTGGAGCATGGCCAGTCTTCTCTTTCAAGCCCCGCTTTGCTTGCCAAGGGCCTGCCTCCACAGCAGACACACACTGCAAAGACACCAACTTTCTTTAAAAATAATTTATTAGTTTTGGATCACAAAATACAGGGAAGGCACAAAGGCAGTGCCTGAGACCCCTTGGCTGTATTTCCCAGGCTATGCATCTGGAACTACCTCTGTGTAACACCAGGCTGGGCCCCCAGCATCCTCACACCCTAACAGCTGCAGAGTATAGCACCCGAGCCTGCGGCCAGTTTAAGCACACCCCATTCACGACACAGACTCCCCTCCAAACATTCTCCAGATCTCTTGCCAACAGTGAAATAGTTGCTTCAACTATCAATTTCTTAGAACTCTCAGAAATGAGTAGGTCACAGGCAATTATGCCTCAAAGCTCTTAGAGTTTAACCTTTTAAGAAGGCCTTTCTTAATTAACAGCAGTGACTAAAGCCCTTTCTGTGTTCCCAACATTTTAAGTCCCAGGCTGCCTGTGGCTCCAGACAGCAGCCCCTGGGGGTCCCCCATATCCTAGGGCGGCGATGGAGGAAGGGCAGGCCAGGCCAAGCATGAGGAATAAACAGTCAATTTTATTGGGCTCAGACCAGGAGTCCATGGGTCTTGAGGACCTCTGTGTATTTATCGATTTTCTTCTCCACGTTCTTTTCAGCCTGTTTCCGTAGCCTCTGTGGGGTGAAGAGGACAGATGGTGGTCAATGGCTGCTACCCAGAACCTTCATCATCCCAAGAACCCAATTCTACTCCCCGTCCCAAGGTGGGCCTCAAGTAGAGGCCTCCGGGACCAAACAAAGACCACTGCGTCCAGAGAGTTCACCCACAAGGCCCTGCCCAGGAGTGTGGTGCCCTTGGGTTCCAGGCCATCCTCACCATGAGCTGCTTCTTCTTCCGGTAATGGATTTTGGCCTTCTCCTTTCTCTTCTCCTCCAGGGTGGCTGTTACTGCCTGGTACTTCCAACCAACCTCATGAGCCAGGCGCCCCAGGTAAGCAAACTGTGGGGGAGGGAGAAGAAAGAAGTCCTAAGAGCAAGCAGAGTCAGGGTGGCTGTGGGACAGGGAGCGGACAAGCTGTCCTAGGTGACCCAACTTTCCCCAGCAGGCCTAAGTTCAAGACACAGCCACCCTGGGGGCTCCCTGCTCGTGCTGGCATCAGCTAAGCCAATGGCATTTTCGGCACTGCCCACAGCGGCCTCCGCAGACCATCGTGAGAAAGAACCATCACGTGCCAGTCTCGGGCCTCAAGCTCGCCCCCTAGTGAGACGACTCAGTGAAACCCGGAACCTACCTTCCGTGTAGGCTTCAGGCGCACCACCTTGAGGGCAGCAGGAACCACCATCCGCTTTTTCTGTTAGAGAAGGAGAGGGGCTTAAGAGCCCTGGAGTAAGGGACAGCAGGGAAGAAGGCTGGCTGGAACAGCGTCTCAGACAGTGCTGTTCTCACGAGGGTCAAACAATGTAGGTACAACTGCAACATCACGGACGCCAGACACAAATGCTGCGCAGATGGCCCTCGAGCTCACCTTGTCGTAGGGCGGCGGGATCCCATCGAACACCTTGAGCCGGTCCAGGGCAGCCTGGCCTCGCTTGGTCTTGTGCGGCAGCATGCCTGTGGGTGGAGGGACAGCAGGCTTGCTCCGCGGGGCTCACGGGGACCCCGCACCCCCCCCCAGGCACACCGGCGGCCTCAGATGGTAGTGCATGTGGAGTCATCTCATGGTCGGGGAACTCGAACCCAAGTGGGAGAAGTCCTCATCACTGGCCACCCATCCACCTGCGGTCCTCAGGCCCAGCTCACCTCGCACTGTCCGCCAAAAGATGCGGCTGGGTGCTCGGAAGTGGTACGGACCACGGGATGGGTTGGTGTTCATGCGCTTGCGGAGGAAGGCCAGGTACTTCACTGGGGAGAGAGAGGGTGCGAGGCCTCAGACCCCAGCCACACGCTAACTTCTTCAACACACACATCCATACTCGCAAGGGCCTGTTAGGGAACGCAAATGAGCACTTCCCACCACTAGTAGGCTCACTTTTGGAGCCAACGAAGGCTGCCAATCTCCCAGGTCCACCCTCTCCAAGTCTTCTCCCAGATCCTAACTTACGCTTGTTTCTGTAGAAATTGCCAGAAATGTTGATGCCCTCACAGCGCACGACTACAACCTTCCGGCCTAGAGGAAAAGAAAAGTGAGGCAAACAAGGACAAAGGCTATGAAGCCACCCAAGGGCTCTACCTACAAACTGGCCATTACCCACCTGCCCGGTTACTGCTGAGGATTGGAAACAGGGTTCCTTCCCCTGTGTGGAGCTGACCACAATGCACAAGAAAGCCAAGGCCCCAGCAGAGCTGGATTTGTGCTTAAATTAACAGCCCGACAGGAAAGGATTTTCCATCTCGGAGCCCCAGACCCCAGGAGAGGGAGAAGCTGGAAGGTCTCAGAGCGGTGCATGGGGTTATCTCACGGTCGTGAGACTCAAACGAAAGATGGTGACTGTTGCTCATCACTGACCGCTGGCTGGGAATCACACCCAGGGGAGCTGTGGGCAGAGCAGACTTACCCAGAAGCACCTGTTTGGCCACGATGGCCGCCAGGCGGCCGAGGAGATGGCCTCGGCCATCGAGCACCAGGACCTGGTGGAAATAAAGTGAAAAGGCTTAGACACACCCTCAGCTTTGACTCCCCACCCTAAGCAACCCATGCTTTTTTACTCGTTTCTTTCACCGTATCCCCCAGAGTGCCTCCTATTCATTAGCAGGCCTGGAAACTAAGACCCAAGGTCCACTGTACAGATGTGGCCAAGAAAGCAAATGGCTGTTTCGGTGCAAGGAATAATACAAAGGCCTTTCCTCACATCTCACTGCCTTAAGAGCCAGAATTCTTAAGCCCCGATTACATTCAAGGGTGAGAGGATGAGCTGGGATTTGAACAAAGGCTGGCAAGACTATCCATTGATCCAGTTAGAATTTATAATCCCTGATACAAAAGTTGTGGAATCCCAACAGACCAAATACTCTCAAGGGTAAAAGTTTCCAGCATAAAATGATTAATAAAGGAAACAGGTTCAGAGTGGGTGAGGCTCTGCAGAGTAGTCAGGAGCCTGTGCGGTGGCTTATGCTGAATTTAGCTCTGCATCCCTGGCTGAACCGCTCAAAACCAAATCCTCAGCTTCTTCACCACGAGTCAAGTCCCCACTCTTACCGAGTGCTTGTTATATACTTGTGATTGTTGGAAGGCAGAAGGGTACAGAATCTAAAGCCAGACTTCCTGACAATGTGACTTTGGCTAAAACTCTCCAGCTTCCTCACCTGGAAGATGAGGATAACAGTATCTGCCTCAGGAATATTACGGTAGTTAACCGAATGACACCAAATATAAAGCAAACTGCGTCACGCACACAGTAAATGCAGAAAACACGTGTTCCACGAACTCTACCAGCTTCCTGACTCCACGACCGTGCTTTTTCCTTTCCTATTCACACGGACACCCTTTCCCGAGCCATCCCCTCCTTTACATATAAGAAATTAAGAGGAGAAATCCAGGGACTCGGAGCTAAGCTTCTGCTGTGTCCCTCGAGGGCCCCCAGGTGGTTACGGGAGCCTTTTATCAGTGCTCTAGCCTTTAAAGTATCCGTCACCCCAAAGAACAAGGTAAGAGCAATTCGTCCCTGGATGTCCTGTAGGCAGGAACGCTCCCCCACTGCGTAAGATCTCCTACCAAAGGGGCCAGAGCTCCAGGACACGGATTGGCACTCCCACGAGGGTGAAGCGACGCGCGCCTTGGGTACGGCGGGAGCGCCCTCCATTTTGGCCAGTCCTCGGTTTCCCATCGCCCCGAGGCAGCCCAGGCGTTTTCCGCGCGCTTCCCCGTCGCTAGGAACACACAGGCCCGATTCGGCCAAAGCCCGGCCGAGACAAAAGCAAACGAGGCCTAATTTTAAAGTAACTCTCCCCGTGCTGGGAGCCGCCATAATCGCCCCTAAGGAAGGGATCCTGCCCCATTTTAGTCAGCCCCAGGCCAAAAAACCGTCCCAGTTATCTCCTATTCCCCCGTTGCAGACTCCTTTTAGGCCCAAAGCTTCTCATTTTGCTCAATTATCGAGTTTAGGCTTCACAACACACCTACGAGGGGAAAGAGGGCCCAACCTCGTTCCGGCCTGCAACCCACCCAGCCCCACGCCTCCCCGGCCCGCGCGGAGCCCGCACCTGCCCCTCCGCCATCTTCGACAGCCGCCTGGGAAAGGAGGAAGATTCGGCGCAGGGTTTCTTATCCCTTGAAACAGGGGCGGAGGAAGTGACGCCGCATGGGCTGTGCGGGCAGCTTCCCGTCTTTTCATTGGCCCAAGTGTCTTGCGCGTGCGTAGAGGGGCCCCGCTGGAAGGCGGGTCGTCTTCTGACTGTCCAATCCGGGTCCAACCTTTCCCATCGGCTCTTAGGCAGCCATTGCTGTGCGGGGCGAGAGATCACGTGGGGTAGGAAGCGGCTCTGCTGGGGCGGGGCTGGCCAGCCTGGGCCGCCATATTTTTGAGGGGCTGCTAGTCTCCCTCTTCGGGGTTGCCAGGGTGTCTGCGGTGGGGGGAAGCGCCGTCACTCGCTAAAGCGACAGCCGGCTGCAGGGCACGTGGTGGCCCGCAGGGGGCAAGTGGGCTCTCTGTCAAGCGCTCAGTCTAGGCTTAAAGGATTCCGGTGCCTGTGCTGCCTCCTTGTGACCTGGCCGAACCCGCGGCCCTGTCTGGGCCTCAGTGTCCCCATCTGTAAAACAGGCGGAAGTAGTTTTCCCTATGAGATCCAAGAGTGTGTGAGGGAATGACTTCCTGATGGCTTCTAGGCCTTCGCTTCGGCTGCGTCCCTTGCCTCGGATGTCCTCCCCTCCAGCCCCACCTTCAAAAATCTGGCCTGTCACAGCCCCAGGGCTTTTTGGTTCAAGAGTCCTTTCCTCCCCAGCGCCTCCCGGGATCTCAGGCTGGGTCAGGTATCCAACCCCCCCCCCCCCCGCCCGGGCTCCCGGAGTGCCTGTATTGCTGCCGTTAGAACGTGTGTCCTGCTGAACTGAGGCGCCCTGGGTCCCGTGTCTTCTCCCCCATAGATCAGGAGCCCCGACCAGGGCGGGTTCTGACGCCGTCTGGGTCCGAGCACTGCTGCGCACTGGCTCTGGGCCCCGGGAGGTCTCAGAAAACCGGTACCGGATGAAACATCGCATTCACTGAAAAACCAGGACTCACACCCAAAATGCCCCGCCCGCACCCTGTCCCATCTACAGACAGGCCTGGCCCGAGCTGGTAGAAAAGGGTGATTTATATACAATTTCCTGGGGACAAGGACTTTGTACAGAGGGGGATAGGTGGGGCTGGGGCTGGCGTTGGGGACTGGCGTTGCCTCCATCCTGGGGAGAGAGTGAGCAGGGCAGCGCCATCGAGGAAGGGACCGGTCTCTAGCTGACTTCCTCTGAGTCCCAGCTCTGTGTCCTCTGGCAGGTGACTCGTCTCGCTGGGCCTCAGTGTCCTCTGTAAAATGAGACGATAGATGTGTCTGTCTCACTGGGCGTCTGGGGATCCACGGATAGAGAGGAGAGCACCAAGCTCAGCTCTCTGCACAGACTAAGTACTGAAAACAATTCCATTTCCAATGAGTGCCCGCTATGTGTTAGGGCATCACTGTCCATCTCTGCAAAGATGGAAACCATGACACCTGTGCTCTCCCACAGAGCCACAGAGCAGCCACGTGGGAATACTGAGTACTCCAAATGCGCCCAGGGCAACCGAGGAGCTGAGTTTTACATTTTACCCAATTTAAACTTAAACTGGTAGTGTGCTTATTAGGAGAGCAGGAAAGCAGAGTGAACAGGAGCAAGGATGCGAGGAAAACTTCCCAACAGATTACCTTTTCCAAAAAAATTGTAATAAAAATTCCTGTACAGAAAACAAGTGCTGAAATGAAAAATCATTTAAACTTAGAGACTGATCCTGGGGAACGCCTGGGTGGCTCAGTCGGTTAAGTGTCCGACTTTTTTTTTTTTTTTTTTAAGATTTTATTTATCTGAGACAGAATGAGAGAGACAGAGAGCACATGAGAGGGGGGAAGGTCAGAGGGAGAAGCAGGCTCCCCACCGAGCAGGGAGCCCGATGCGGGAGTCGATCCAGGGACTCCAGGATCATGACCTGAGCCGAAGGCAGTCGCTTAACCAACTGAGCCACCCAGGCGCCCAAGCGTCCGACTCTTAATTTTGGCTCAGGTCATGATCTCAGGGTCGGGGGATCTCGTCCCACTGGGTGTGGACCCTGCTTAAGGTTCTCTCTCTCAGGGCGCCTGGGTGGCTCAGATGGTTAAGCATCTGCCTTTGACCCAGGTCATGATCCCAGGGTTCTGGGATTGGGCCCCACATCGGATTCCTGGCTCAGCGGGGAGCCTGCTTCTCCTTCTCCCTCTGCCTCTCTCCCTGCTCATGCTCTCTCTCTGTATCTCTGTGTCTCAAATGAATAAATAAAATCTTAAAAAAAAAAAAAAAGAACCCTCTGGGCCCATCAAGAACCCACTAAGGCCTCCCCAGCTTCCTCCCTCCTGGACCCACCTGCCTCCTGCCTCCTTTCTTCCATCACTCACCTCCTCGGGCTCCCTGCTGCCCTGGGCAGGAAGTCCCAGCTCCCTTGCTTGGTGTTTGAGGCCTAGATTTTTCACACCCACACTCACACCCACCCCAGGCTCACTCACAAGAGTTACTGGAACACCCAGAGCTTTTTCACACCTGGGGGGCTTTGCAAAGGTGGTCCTCTCCGCCCACTTCAGGAGGGTTCTCTCCTGGCTTGCAGACTCCTGCAGCCAAATATCTCCCCTGGGGCCCCTCACGCCCCCTAGGTCCCCAGTGAGCTCACCCTCTTTCCCTAATCTCCCTGCTCCCCCAGATTTCCCACTGGGCCAGACCCAGGGTCGTCTGTGCCACCTGCCCGAGCCTGCCAATCTTCAGCGCTGTCCTTCTTGATCCCTGACCCCTGACTCTGCCTGTCCCCTCCTCCCTGTCCCCATGGTGCTGGTCCTGGCCCTGACTCAGGCCTTGTCCTCTCTCCCTGGACCCTCACCCAGCCTCCAGTCTGTCCCCCCTCATGACCCCAGCCCCCCTCCACTCCCCTCCCAACAAAGTCCAGGGTTCTCAGCCTGGTGAAGGATTCACCAAGCTCCACGAGCCACAGGGGCAGCCTGTCCTGGAGACTGGAGGTGCAGGTCACCTGTGGTCACCACAGGGCCAGCGCCACCCCTGCAGACCTCCCCACGCCCTCTGTCCACCTCCAGACTCACCTGCTCCCCAGGGTAGGGCGTCCTCCACCCCCTCCTTCGCCAGTGCAGGCACCCGGCAGCGGACATCAGCAGGAGACCCACGGGCAGCAGCAGCACGAGGAGCAGCAGAGGGGCCTGGGGGGCCAGCAGGGCTGTGGCCTCCAAGGCCCCGGGGCTCCTTGGGGGCAGCAGCGTGGAAGAGTCTGAGGGGAGAGAGGAGGCTGGGTGACCGAGGAGAAGGGCTGGGCCAGAGAAGGGAAGGAAACAAAAGCAGGCCCGGTGCTGGCTGTGTGACCTCAGGTGGGCCGCCCACCTCTCTGTACCTCAGTCTTCTCATCTGTAAAATGGGGATATTCATTATACCTGCTGCATAAGGTGGTCACAAAAATTAAATGAGTGACCACACAGGAAGTTCTTAGAACAGCATGGCACCTGGTCAGTTTGCATTTTCTATTACAATTGGACACATAGATTTCTAGCGCTTATATATCGATTTGTTTATTCTTCTTTTTCCTCCCGTGGGCTGTGAGCTCCCTGTGGGCACCAGGGACCTTCTCTGTCTTTTTTATTGGCAGAACCTACTACTTAGCACTAGTTAAATAATATTATAATAGCTCAATTTCATACATTAAATATTTGACCAAATGACAAATTGACAAATAATAAAATAGTCAAAGATCCCCCCCAATTTTGTTCCCTCTATACCCTCACCCAGCTGCTCTCTTTTCCCCTCGCTTGCTGGACTCCCGGCACATGTGTCTCTTCACTGTTCCTTAAACAGGCTTCTGCCTCAGGGCCTTTGCACAGGCTGTTCTCTTGTTCCCAACTCTCAGTACCTCTCCAGCCACCCACCTCACACCATGATTCCATCACCCTGTTGTAATTTGCCTGCATGGGGCTCATTACCCTCAGATATTTTCCTGTTAATTATTTGCTCACGTTTATTGTCTGTCGCCTCAATTAGCATGTCAGCCCCACATATGCAAGCACTTGGATCTTGTTCTGAGCTGTGTCGACAATGCCAAGCACCCAGGAGGTAGCTAATAAAATGCGGTCAAATGAATGAAGAGTCATAAATGTAAGTACAAATGACCAATGAAGCTTAATACAGAGGGCAAAATGATCGGAAGTGTGGGGAGAAAGTGAGAAAATTAGAGGGGGTGGTTTTTAAATATCCCTCTCAGGGGCGCCTGGCTGGCTCAGTCGGTAGAGCGTGCGATTCTTCATCTCAGGATCGTGAGTTTGAGCCCCATGCTGGGTGTAGAGATTACTAAAAAAAAAAAAAAAAAAAAAAGAACTCGACAGATCTGGTAACAAATACAAGGACAGAAAGCCTCCGAATGATACCACAGTAAGGTGGGGAGAATATGTACACACAGATTCAACCCTGATCCTGCCAAGAAAATTAACCTATTTTTTTCTTTTCCTCCTAAGACAGGGTCAGTTACAAAACTGGCAATGTACTTGGCCACAAAGTAAACCTTTTTTTTTTTTTTTTAATTTACTTATTGTAGAGAGAGAGAGAGAGCACGAATGGAGGACCAGGAGAGGGAGAAGCAGGCTCCCCGTGGAGCAAGGAGACCACTGTGGGACTTGATCCCAGGACCCTGGGATCATTACCTGAGCCGAAGGCAGACGCCCAACTGACTGAGCCACCCAGGTGCCCCAAAGTAAACCTTAATATGCTGAAAAAATCAAGTTTTCACAGGGCATAGTCTCTCATCATATTCTGATTACATTATTTCTCATTGATCCTTTAGAGCTGTGTTCAATCCTGCAGCCTTTTGCCCCGTGGGGCTATTGACACGTGGTCTCTGGTGAGTCTGAATTCCCATGTGCTTTCAGTGTTAAATACACACTGGTTCCCAGAGACTTAGAGGACAAACGGATGTAAAATATCTCACTAATTTTTAAAAATACAGTATCAGGGGTCCACCTGGGTGGCTCAGCCAGCTGAGCATCCCATTCTTGGTTTGGGCTTAGGTCTTGGGGTGTGAGATTGAGCCCCGAGTGGGGCTCCGGGCTGAGCACCGAGTCTGCTTGAGATTCTCTCTCTCCCTCTTCCCCTGCCCCTTCCCGCTTGTGTGGGCACTCTCTCTCTCTCTCAAATAAATAAATAAATCTTAAAAAAATAATAAAAATAGGGTGCCTGGGTGCCTCAGTCACTAGGCGTCTGCCTTCAGCTCAGGTCATGATCCCAGGGTCCTGGGATCAAGTCCCACGGTGGTTTCCCTGTTCGGTGGGAAGCCTGCTTCTCCCTCTCCCACTCCCCCTGCTTGTGTTCCCTCTCTTGCTGTCTCTCTCTCTCTGTCAAATAAATAAATAAATAAATAATCTTTAAAAAAAGTACAGCATGGGGGTGCCTGGCTGGCTCGGTCTGTGTAGCATGCAACTCTTGAACTCGGGGTCATGAGTTCGAGCCCCATGTTGGGGATAGGATTGCATTAAAAAAAATAATAATAATATTAAATCTAAAATACAGTATTGAGTATATGTTCAAACAGTACTCCTTTGGAGACATTTCGGTTAAACTAAATTTGTGATCTCAATGATGAGCTATTAAGAATAACTTTAAAATTATGAAGTCCATTAACGTCATTATAAAGAACAGATTCGTGGTTGCCAGGGGCTAAGGATGGGAATTATTAGAAGGGGGTCAAGTTAAGTAGTTTTACTGTGGCGGGGATCACAAGAAGCCACACAGGTGAAAAAATTGCAAAGACACATACGCTTTTATGGAGCGAATTGCGTCCCTCAAAATTCATACACGGGAATCCTAACCACCCCCCCACCTTGGAATGAGACCTTATTTGGAGATAGGGTTACACAGAGAATCAAGTTAAAATGAGGTCATCAGGGTGGGCCCCCCATCCCACATGACAGGTGTCCTTGTAAAGAGGGGAAATCTGGACACGGAGGCATGCACAGAGGGAGAAGGCCATGCGAGTGTGAAAATGGCCATCGACAAAGCCAAGGAGAGAAGCCTGGAACAGAACTTTCCCTCAGAGCCCTCAGAAGGAGCCAATCCTGCCCACACATGGATTTCAGACTTCTGGCCTCCAGAATCGTGAAACAATCCACGTCTGTTGTTCCAATCACCCAGTTTCTGGTACTTTGTTACGGCAGCACTAGGAAACGAGCAAGCACGCGACTCGTAAAATGGGAATAAACTCTGTGGATTATACGCACGGACTGGACCCCTCTCGTATTTCTGGCTTTGCTATTGTGCTGTCAGTAATGGGAAGCAAAATGCAACCCTGGGGCTGGGGAGGCTGGGTAAAGGGTGTCCAGGATCCCCCCCATACAATTTCTTTGTACCCTCCTTTGAATCTAGAACTATTCCAAAAGACAACGTTTTAAAAACAAAACCACCAATCATTTGCTACGAAAATAACGAATGTGAAAATTCCGGAAAAAAAAGTGAATTCACTAAAAAAAACCAAAACACCAAAATTTCAAAAATCTTGGTACTGGAGAATTTGCCCTTACATACGTGACTGTCATTGTATTTCTTTCGGACAGGGCTGCCTTGGAGAAACAGGCAGGGATTATTGTTCCCTTGTCAGAGATGGGTAAACTGAGGCCCAGATAGAGGACTGAACTTGGGGGAACACGCCCAAAGTCACACAGCCAGTGGGAGCAGGGTGGGGTCTAGGCTGGCCTGGGCAGAGGGGGTGAGGGGCTGTGGGATGGGAGAGGTGGTGGGGGGCTGCTGAGGGGCGCTGGGGGCCGTTACCCGGCTGACACTGCAGCTGCAGGCACCCAGAGAAATTCCTGCGGGTGATCCAGGGCTTCAAGGCCGTCAGCTGCTTGGAGGTGTCCTGCAGGAGGTGGGAGACGTTGGTCTGGACGAAGCGAAGACAGCTGGGGAGGGGCTGGGGGCAGGGGAGGGAGATGTCACCAGGGTATCACTCCCACAGTCTGCTCAGGCCAAGGGCCTTCCCTGCCTGGCAACGCCTACCAGGGCCCCGTGAGGCCTGGGTCACAGAGAGAGAGTTTGGACCCCTGCCCCCCAGGTGGCTAGGGGAGAGAACCCCTCTGCAGCGCCCAGCAACAGGGCCTGAGAAATAAACTCAGAATCGGTGCACTGGGCCCAGGACCCCCGCCCTCCTTCCGTGCCTAGAGAAGTGCTCTTTTCAGCAAGGGGGTCCCCAGGAGGACCGGGGTTCCAGCTCCACCTCCCTTGGGTGGCTAGTCAAAAGAAATCTCCAGCAAGGCCTAGCAGAGCTTGGCTTCCAATCCCTAGGAAGGCAACTCGCTCCCCTAGCTTGTCCCCCAAGTTCAGGGCTGACCTGGAAGGCACATAAGGTGACAAAGTGTATCTCCGTGTTGACAGCCTCCAGCAGGATTTGCAACCGGGACCCGGCCACAGCTTTGAGCCGTTCCATCCAGCGCTGGGCCAGGACCAGGCGCCAGAAGGCTCCGCAGAGCTCGTCCTGGGAGGGACAACCCAAGCTGGGGGGGCGGCCAGCAGAGGGGGCTGGGGGCTGGAAGGGTGAGGGGCTGGGGCCAGGAGCCCTGCATCCCCCGGGGGAGGAGGGGGCAGGTCAGCCAACTGGTCCCCTGAGGGGTGGTCTGTCCTTCCCACCTCTGCCCCAGCCCCTCCTATCTGTGACTCACGTCCTGCAGGTTGGAGGCGACAGTGACTGGGTAGTCCTGAAGCAGGTAATCAGACTGTGGGAGAAAACGGGGTCAGGCCTGGCCCAAGACAGGAGGAAACAGAACTATGGAGATCCAGAGGGCGGGGGAGAGGGACCCAGAGAGAGGGGGATGGCGAGCCAGAGGGGGAGGACAGGGACCCAGAGAGAGGGGGACAGGGACCCAGAGAGAGGGGGACAGCGAGCCAGAGAGAGGCGGACAGTGAGCCAGAGAGAGGGAGACCGCGAGCCAGAGAGGGAGGACAGGGACCCAGAGAGAGGGGGACAGGGACCCAGAGAGAGGGGGATAGCGAGCCAGAGAGTGGGAGACAGCGACCCAGAGAGGGAGGATAGGGACCCAGAGAGAGGGGAACAGGGACCCAGAGGGAGGGGGACAGGGACCCAGAGAGAGGGGGACAGAGAGCCCCAAAGGACACCTCGACAGGGTGGCTCAGCCCCAGTGACAGAACCTGGGCCTCAGAAAGGCGCCCCGGGGAGGAAGGGACAGGGCCCTCACCAGCTTGTGGATGGTGAGCGCAAAGGTGGAGGAGACGGGGCTGTGACTGAAGGAGCAGTCAGGGGTCCCGCGGAGGCCGGGGCTGAGCAGCAGCAGGAGCAGCAGGGAGGTCTGTGGGCGCGACACAGGGTGGCAGGGCGCCCTCTGTTGGTTCCATGAGCACCCCTCCCCTGGGCCCCCCCAGCCCCCACCCGTCTCTCGCCCCTCTTTCTCCCTTTCCAGGTCGCACTCCCTCTGGCCCAGGGCTCAGCCCTCCTCCTGGCTCCTGTGTCCATCCAGGACTGGCCTTCCCTGGTTTCCTCTCTGCTGCCCTTTCTGGCTGCTCTCCCCATTTCCCAGCTGCGCCCAAGGCTCGGCTCCTGCTCACCTCGGCTGTACCTCTCTGTTCCTCCCTCCCGTTTCTGCCTCCACCTGGGTCCTGCCTTCCCCATTTGTACCCCACCCCTGCCCACATCCCCA